GACCAAAAGAGCTGCCTACAGGACCAATACTGCCCTTTTACAGTGATCTACTGTTTGTGGTACTCACCAAAACATGGGTGACCCTGGTTCAATTTCCAAATTTCCATGTGTTTAGGAACCTCAGTTTCACATTTCTCCCAGGAATGCTCTGCCTAGACACTCATTTTTCAATTCTTTCCCAAACTGTCACACTTTCATCAGTGGCATCACTCCCGCAAAATTTGCAGCATATAGGAAATACAATTCTTTCTGCTACGCTTGCATTCCAAAGCCACAACCACATCCCTAGCAGTAAGTCATCAGCTGACCCATCTCAAAACACCAAAACACACCAAAATACATTATTATCTCAAGCAACTGGGAAAATTACACTGGTGAAGTTGTCCATGGACTTCCCTTCAGCACAATAAATGCTGTACAGTCCGTGCCTTTCAATCTTAAAATCCATTAGTCTGACTGCAAACTTAGCCAGACATCCAGCATGGCCAGGTAAATGCTGTCCCATAACTCAAGCTAACTCCAGGCTAATCCTCATGGGAATTCATCTAGATTCCTCAGTTTTCTGTGGTACCCACAGGTTCTATAGATAAACCTCGCTCTTCAAGCTTTGCAGAAACCTAGCTCTATCACAAGCCCCAGCCAGTCCCGGACATTTTCACAATGGGTGAATCTGAAAGAACTCCCTTCCTAGGCTGTTTGTGGTAACCTTCTTTGGCTTAAGACTAGCCCAAAATCTGGAGTTAGCATATGGTATAGGAGAGAAGCATACAATATATTCCTGATCACTAAAGTGTTCAAATGGTCTTTAATTAATTTCCATATGACAGAGGTCACCGTTCTCTTTGGGTAAACATAAAGTGATGATTAAGACTGAGATATGGTTGGAAAATATTTTTATTTCTGAGGGCTGCTGAAGAAGTAGATAGCCTGGTGCCGGTAGAATTGTATCAGCCACAGTTCAGTCATAAGATCATGCATCCAAGAGCTGGAGGTCCGTATTTGTTACAAGTCATGCTACATGTCACAAGTTATGCTAGGCAAAAATAAAGGCTTGTGTTGACAGTGGACTGAATAGACTAGAGGAAGTCGCAAATGATGAGGTATCACTTCTCTGGGATTTAGGTAAGGATTCCTAAGACTGGAAAATCATACCTTAGATTCTGTCAGGACCACCAAAGCAGAAAAAGATCTGATGGGGACTAGATGGGAGCTAGAAGGAATGTAAGGTAAAACTGAGTTTTGAGGATTTATCCTTCAATAGTAGGGTTTTTTTTTCCTGTGATAGGGTTAGTGATACAGTTCAGTTATAGCAATGAATGGGCTAGAGAATTGTATTTATTCCTGAATTTTACTGGGATTGTCACCTTAAATTGAGTGTGCTAATTCAATAGTAAGACTGTTGCAGCATAGCTTACAGGATATATTTTGATTTGTTAATAGCCAGCATCACTTTTGGGTTTACAGAAGAGGATGTGTTAGCCTGTCAGAGTAGGTTGAAAACTGTACTGCAGATACTTTGAATCAGCAGTACAAACAATGGCTGCATGATGAACCCTACCTAAATGCAATGTCTTTTGTTGAGACATAGGTGTGGAAAGTTAGTGGAAACCTGAAAGACCTGCTGTTGCAGCTAGACCAAAAAGCTAGACTTTGGGTCTGTCAAAGTCATCAGTCTTCCATTTGGGCTGAAAAAGGTGAACTCCTAAATATATCTGCAAGTAGTTCTGGGACAGCCAAATGTTGCTTTTCTGGCCTTAATACAGGAGTTTGTGCAATGACTGGAAAGCCAGGCAAGCTAACCCTTCCTGCAGACACCACAAGACACTCAGGAGTGCTGGGCACAGCAAGGAAAGGAAACATGATGGGGTGGAGTACATTTGGGTTTAGGTGAAGTTCATCTTCCAGGTCCACAGGGGTCTGAGAAGTTAAATGCACTACTAAGTGGGCTGTGTGCTGGAGGGCTCCATTGAGCACTGACACCCTTAGCTGGGCTAGTATTTAAGTTCAGGTCACTGGGCCAGAGTTTAAAGTTACGATTAGCTCTCAGAACAGAAGTGGCTGGAGTATCAGGTTTAACACAATGTTCCAGACCAACAGGAGAGTCAAGCTGAAAGACATTTGGGCACAGAGTTAGCTGACCTAACTGAATTCAGGTCAACATTAAGGGCTTGTCATCATTTCAGTTGAAAAGCAACATTTATGTGTCATCCTGCTGGTGTTGCTAGAGTTTCACTTGAGTTAGTCTGAACATGTTAAACCAAATTTAATCTGGAGAGTCTGAAGGATCAAGTAGGGTTTATTGAGAGCATGTTTTAGGATTGTGTAGGCCATTAGAACGAGGAAAACTACTGAGGAAAAAATCAAATGGAGCTAAGGTTGGATATGGGCAATCAGGGCCTGAGTTTAGGGCTAAGTGCTCTCATTATGGTTCATGTTTGGTACCAGAGGGGCTGAAGAACTTTGTGAAAGTCTGTCCTGCAAATGATGCATTGCTCTTTTTTCTAAGGGAGAGAGAGAATCTTCATAGGGAAAAGCCTAGCAGACAGAGGAAGCAGGTGAAAGAGGAAAATGAGACATGCAGTACTTATCAAGACTTTGAGACCACAAGAGAATGGTTTAGAAGTCTATACACATATGCAGATCTGTTTTCCCCAATCTTTAACCTTCCTTCCATCCTTCTGGTCTCCCTGTGAGACTCCCTTCCCCCAACTCCCACAGTCCTCTGTGTCTTCATGTCATACAGACATTCCTTTCTTTCTATTTCTCTTCATCCTTCCCAGTCACAGCATTAAGCAGAGGCAGCAAGAGAAGAGAAAAACACGGGAAACAGTTTTACCATTTTTTTTTCATCTTCTGACCAAACGAACAGCAAGAGCCACAACTACCAGCACCACCGCAATAAAAATGGATGTGTTGCAGCACAGTAGTTTTGCTAGCCTAGAGAGAGCAGTAAGTGAAGGCTGCAGAGGTTTAACCACAAGCCTTCGTGGAGGAATCGAAGCATTTGAGGACCGCCAGCAGCCAGTGAGGCGGCCGTGCCCGCGGGCTCTCCGGCCGGCCGGGCACCGCTGACCCCACCGAACCCTGTCTCCTGGCACTTGCTGTTCGCAGCAAACCGGCCTCGAAGGGCACCGGGCCTCCCCGAGGGGCACTTCTGATGCCGCCCCTTTGCCTGGCGGCCCCGAGGCCCGGCTGCCGCCGCACGGGGGGCATCCAGCTGTTGCCAACAGCTGTGTGTCACTTTCGGCTGCGCCGCGGCCGAGCGCGGGGTCCGCCCCGCCGCCGTCCCCGCCCCTGCGAGGAGGAGGAGGAGGAGGAACCG